TTTGGATGGATTTTTATATATATATGATTATGGTACCACGATGTGAACTTAAGCCTCAGAATCGATGGTTAGGGAGCGTATATGCATTGGGATGCATAGCAGCTGGCTATGATGGTTAGTGATGTATCCTGTTAGGTCTAGGTACTCATGCCCACTTCAGGTGTGTTTTACATGTTACCTACTAGTCAGGTTGAGACCGCCTTGTAATCTAATGAAAGTCCATTAGTGTGGATATATATATTTATAGGCTATTTAGTTATTGTTGAGTTATCTAGGATGTATTTGCGTATCGGGTCTATATTTGGATTGTAGTAGAGTAGGACTTGTTTGTGGGCCTGACCCACTATTATTTTTCAGGTGTTCGACAGTTTCAGGCTTAGAGCTTGTTCGTGCTGAGCAGAGATAGTCTTTCACTCCTCCGACTATGTAGGACTATTATTTATGTTTTAGTTTTGGTTTTCCTTTTTTAGTTCAGTTATTTATTTTCCAGCTGGTATATTATTAGGGGTCCACTAAATGGATTCCCGAGTTGTAATAATATTTGAGGTTTTGATAATATTGGATTATTTAATTAGTAATTTAAGGATTATTATTTAGATTCTTTTTAACTTAATTATTTATTCTTTAATTTTTTTGTACTCATACTTGTTTATATACTTAATGGTTTGGTATCCTTCGGATCTGTGCTCGGACTTGATCACCCATGACTCTAGAATCGAAGGGTATCACAACAACCTAGTAATAAGCTTTAAAAGTAACTTCATGATTTTTATACAAGATTTCATCAACACAATAACAAATCTCTAAAACTTAGAAAGCTAACAAATAAAACAATTCACAATAACATGTTATACAATATACAAATATATACTAAACATGCTTTCAAATCTTAATCACATGAACATACAACAAGATCGAAATCATGATTTAAACAAGCAAGCAACATCAAATACATGATTTAATTATTAATACAACAAAATGAAAATTAATTAATTAAAATAATTAATTTTTTTAGATTTGAAATCAACTTCAAATGACTCCTAATTAATATATGATAACGAACAAGTCAAGGTCATTACATATATCAAGTTAAAAACTTAATTAAATCAATGGAGCCATTAAATAGATTTTAATTAATTCATTTAATTAAAATCTCTAGATTTCAAAACTCATTCAAATATTCTCAAATTAACATATATTAAAGAACATGCCAAGTCCTAATTTAATATCATGTCACAAGTTAATTCCTCTCTAAATACAACTATGTGAATTAAATTTCATGCAAACAAAATAATTAAATAAAGATTTCAATACTCATCCAAATATTCTCAATTTAATGTATGTCAAGGTACATGTCGATGCCTAATTTAATATCATGTCATAATTTAATTCCACACTAGATACAACTATGTGAATTAAATTTCATACAAAGAAAATAATTAAATTAAAATCTAGATTATATACAAAGACATGCATACAAGTTATATAAGCCTATAACATCCCCTACCTCACAAGAGGATTGTTCCTCTTAAATCCTAGACAAACAAGCTCAAAATGCAAAACTAAAAAACGGTCATCTAGATTATGAAGAGAGGAAACTATGATCTTCAATGTTGGAGACCCAATTCCTCAAACAAAGAGGTCGAATTTCAAAAGTCCCAAAACAGCTCCCAAGATTCCCCAAACTGGTAACTCGAGATTTAACTATCTGGAATCCCATGCAAACAAGGTCAAAATGAAAAAATGTAAAAGCTGTTCTAGATAAAAAGGAGAGCAAGTTATGATATTCAAAGTCCAAGACTAAACTCCCAAGGCAAAGGGTTCAAAAACTAAAAATGGCAAAGTGGCTTTCAGGATACCTCAAATTGCCTACACGAAATTTACACTTCTGGAATCCAAGACAAACACCCTCCAATGGAGAAACTGAAAGAAGGTGTTCTAGATCAAGAAGAGAGGAAGTTATGATCTTCGAGGCCTAAGATCAAAATCCTAAGGCAAGGGTTTCAAAAATCAAAAGCCCCAAATCAGCTCCTATTTGGCTATAAGGGTGAAGTTTAAAGAAAAGGGAAATTTCTCTAATTCCTCCACTAACTCAAACCCTATGTTGGCCAACCACACACACACAAACACCACCTCTCTCACACACATATGCAAGACTTTAAGCCCTCCACTTGTCACTCATCTAGGCTTCCTCACAAGATTAAATCAAAAGCCGACACTTGTCACCATCTAAAGCTTCCTCTCAAGGCTTAATCCAAGCCCTACACTTGCCCTCATCCAAAGCCAACAAGTGGATCAATCCTAGGCCACCAAGTGGGTGAATCCTCACCCTTTACATGTTATCATCCAAGGCCTCCAAGTGTCACCAATGAAATGATGACAAATGGACCAATGGGAGTGTGACACTTGTCACACTTTTCAGAAATTGCAAAAAGTTCCTTCTTGAAAATATCATCCAAATTAAATTACAAAATGGTCCCTAAGACGAAAAATAATTACTTTATTTAATTACACTAAAACTCCAAAAATTAAAAATATTTTCAAAGAAACTATGCATCCATACCCTTTACGAAAAAGTAAGCAACTAGCATGTTTTCCTACAAAAGTAAAAACACATATTTCATGGAAATAAAATAACGGAGATGCACGTGAAGTCGGAAGTCCAATCCGAACTCAAAACCCTAAATCAAATATTTAATTAATTAAATAAAAAATTAATGTCTAAAAATCAGAAAGGGAGAAAGAAAACACAGTCGTTACAATAATTGGGGGGAGTGAAAAGGGTAACCTCGGCATTATGGCTTACTACGTACGTTTTTTTTTATGAAGTCAGCTGAATCTGATGTGTGTCAAAAAAAGTTAAGAGCAAGACTGAAATTATGCAAACCTTAAGTGGTCTCCTTGATATATAGACATACCTCAAAGGGTCGATTACCTAAAAACAACTACAAAAATCCCAAATTCTTAAGCATGACAAGTTAAACTTATTTTTTTGTTCAATAGCATCACAAGTTTAGTAATCACTGTCACATTCATTGGGTGAGCATATAAACTACACCATTATATGTACTCTAGTTTGAAGATTTTATTTTTTCCAGTGACTAGTCAGAATTATCTTCAATAGAAACATGCCATGTCAAAATGTGGGAGCCACTCACATGAAACCAGAGTGGGCCAGTTGATAGACCACCAAGCCAAAGCCCAATGTCCAGGCCACAAGGCACATAATTGAAGCCCAGTCCAGCAGCGATTCAAAGAATAAAAGTGCATACACCGGCCCGTCCTCAAACAAAGGTCCGGCCCATGGGCAAGCGGATTCCTACTCTAAATCATTTATGTAAACTTGTATTATATGAAAACAAATACTATATAGTAAATCTTGTGGGATGAGTAATGCGAGTTCTAAGCTAACTCAATCTTTGTAAATCATTATAAATAGGGATATAAACCTCCCAAGATATTCGTTTTTATTGTGAGCCTATTGAAAGATTCTTTGATTTTTTGAAGTTAAACGTATTTTTGCATACGCATCGCCATATTGTGAGTGTGACATTTGCTTGAACGAGAAATTTCGAAAAAACAAACCAACAGCAAACTGTTTGTTTGTTGAAGGTAAACTTCCAGCTGCTCCTTGTGGAACAATTAATCTTCGACTCCTTGCTGTGTCTTCGCAATTGTTGTGCCACTGGCATACTGGCTTCTCACTTCCATTTTATGGCGATGAACTAGAAACAAGAATTCGTTCCACTGACACATAAATAATTTAAAGGCGGATCCAGAAATGCATAATGGGGTAAGCTAATTTATTTTGGGATGAACTACTACTACTATATATACTTTTTTTTTTTTTTTTTTTAACTCGACTATATATATATATATATATATATATATATTGAGGTGGGCTCAAGTCCACCCCTGAATCCGCCCTTAGTCACACATTGCTCAGTTTTGAAAAATTCTCCATCTATGCAATGAAACTGACCTAATTATATCTTATCTTAATCTATAAGAACACACCTAATATAATATAGAAAATATGCGATTAGGGTGGATTGATAAAATCACTAAAAGCTATATGATCCTAGCTGCATCTGCACTACCAAACAAAAGATAAATTCAATTTCCTTTCAAAAAAAAAAAAAAAAAGGGATAAAATATCAAAGGTGTTTAATTCCTCCTTATAGTTTCCTACTATCAATCAAGAAGGTACTATCCAACTTTATATCATTACAATGAATCTGAAAATGGTGTTAAAAATTATTGGAAGGCACCGTTCACTAATTTATATAATTTATACACAATTATACAAGTGAATCTGAAACAACTTTCACTTGGATTTTTAACAAATTTTCTTACAAGAAAACAGGACTTTTCCTTTTTTTCTTTTTTTTTTTTTATTTTTTGCTTACCAAAAATATATATATATTATATGCATATGTGTGAGTGAATGTGAAGGGAAATTTTTTCACCATTCACAAAATTATTTTACTCGTGTACTCAAATCAAATAAGGATGTCAGCCCAATAAATTAGGCCTAAGAAAGAAGCCCACTAAACAACTGAAGGCCCCGAAGGGAAGCTTCAACTGTCAACCTGGCCTGATGAGGAAAGCCCAATCCGAAAAGCCCGACCTGAAGCCTTGACCAACACAGCTGAAGAGTAATGGACGCTAACAAATCGAGGGAATGAGGAACTGATTAAGCTCCAAACATGGAAAGCCCAAGATAGGGGTGAGACCCAATTGAAAGACAAGTCATTCTCCGCACTATAAGCCCTTGTTATTCCTTGATCTTGCTCTTTATTTATTTATTTATTTTTTTTCACTGATCATTTATTTCTTCAATGAGTGCTTGAGTACCAAAAAAAATTTATGATTGAACTGCTGGTCCGAAATTTTATGCGACTGAGACTTAAACCTTGTCATGCAATGTTGCTAATTTTAGAAGGATAGGAAATTAAAATTTGTAATATTATGCTACAATAATATAAAATTGCTTAAGGAAAAAAAAAAAAAAAAAAAAAAAAAAAAAAAAAAAAAAAAAAAAAAAACTTCATTATAATATGCTTGATAGAATTTTTTTCATATATAACAAGATTTAAGCAGACTACAAAAACTAACTTTAATACAACGGTGAAACCAGTGACATGTTCTTAGTGGGTGCAGTCACGGGGCAGAGAAGGCATCACCCTGTTGCAGCCACATCTGCCTGTAACCGGAGACCGTGTCACCGGCATGTTCCGGGGAAGCCTCGTCGGAGGTGCTGATCAGAGCATGGAAAGTGCTTCGGAGCTTGTACAAGGACTTGTGGTGACGAATGCGGCGGAGGACGACATCTTTGTCTAGTGATTTTGATGCATGATGATCAGCTGATGATGATGATGATCTCAAATACAGGTGTGTTGTGACAGAGTTCACACTTTCACCTTCATTTCTAGCTTCTGAGAATGTTGTTGGTTGGTTTTTGGATACGTTTAAAGCCATTTCTTGTGAGAACTGATACAGAGTGTTGTTAATTTTGGATATGAGAGAATGAGATTGGCATGTGGTGTCTATATATCTGTGTGTGTGTGAGAGAGAGAGAGAGAGAGGTTTACAGTAATTCTGTGGGTTGATTGGCCAGTGGTTTTATTTTGTTTTGTTTTGTTTTGTTTGCTAGGATTGGGTTTTTGGGTTCTTTGTATTTCAAACTAGGAGTTGTATTTGTGAAGTTTGGGCTGGGGTTGGTTTTGAGTGCACCAAAAGTGGCATGTGACAGCAACCTTTATGCCTTTAACAAGATCAATCTTATTGTACGGATAAAATTAGATGGTCCAAGTTGAATATAGTCATCATCATTTAGCATAGTACTTTAAAGAAGATAATGGGTGACAATATAGTCCATGGTTCTATTCGTCCTCATGATTGGCATAGGCATACAGATTTAGTACTTAGGCAACTATTTGAGTGCCTAACTTCGTGTATAGAGAGTTCTGTCGTTAAGACAAATAAAATGTCGTTAATTTTTTATTTGATTAAGGGCAAGTGATGTAAGCATATAAGGTTATCTATTTATTTTTTAAAAAATAGAGTGTCACATAAACTAAAAAATGATGATATGGTACTCTATTTTTTTTTATCCATATGTTCAATGGTGTGAAACCAATTATCTCATTCTCTATTTATTATTTTATTAATTTAATTGTAGGGCCCACAAAAAAAGGCACACTCTGTCAAGACAGAAGCCACACAATCAATTACACAAACAAAAAAAAAAATTAGCGAATTGTCTAATGCCCACTCTGTCTGTAAATAACTCCATAGAGAGTAATTGTAGGACCTACAAAAAAAGTCCTCTACTTGCTACTGCATACCGGCCCCTTCTCTCTCTATACTGACACACAGTCACTCTAAAGTGGCTTGGGTCCCGAATGCTCTAAGAGGAGTGTCTCTAAGAAGAGTGTCATTTGCTGTTCTTGAGACTGTCCATACGCAGTCGGACTCATAATTGATTAGAATTTCTAAAATTAGATCGTCCAAGTTGAATATAGTCATCATTTTGCATACTACTTCAAAGAAGATAATGGGTGACCAACTGAAGACCGTTCAACTTCCTATTTGGTGATTCTTTTTCCTAGTGTACTATAGAGAAGTAGATTTAAGATTGAATACAAACTTCGCATTTGATATGAAATGCATATATAATATATGATCTCATGATATGATATAGTAGAAGACAAAGTACATGCTGAGACCCACAGTGCATAGAGACTGAGAACAAGCATTATGCAATGGCTGTGTATGTAAAGTTGAAGGGACCATATACAGTAAGTATTTTGAAAGCGAAAAGATGAGCAATTTCCCAAGTAAAAAAACAAAACAATGGGCTGCTGCAGCACTCACTACTAACAGTTCGGGGACCAAACAGAGGGCGTTTCATTGGATTCCACAGGTTTTCGTGGGGCCCTACCATGACCCACAACAATGGTGGGCCCATCACAAGACTCTATTTCTCGAGTAATAATTACTCCTTCTACTTTAAAATAGATGTTCACTTTAAAATAAATGTTCACTTTCAAAATTGTTGGTAGATATTTATTTTGGAACAGATGAACTAAGGTACTTTCATATGATTTGTTTGGTAAGCATTTTATTTTTGATATTTTATTTGAACTTAAAACAAAACGAGTGTTTTGTTATAGAGTGTTTTGAATAGTAATCGAAAGTATGTTTCGTAATGCCTATTTGTTGCAAGATTTTTAGAAGCAACAAATGAAAACATGTTTAGTAAAAAAGTGTTGTAAGTTTAAAAAATATAATGGTTAGTTTTAAAATGTCATTTAAGAATTTTTCAAAAAATAAAATTTATTTTTCATCGCTATAGTACCAAACACATAAAAACACCAAATTCGTGTTTCGATTTTTGGCCATTATTTACTAAACGTTTCGGCATTGTGCAAAACAAAACAGTTTTTACCAAATACGTTTTTTCCACGATTCACTGTTATAGTCAAGCATGGACCTGGTTAAGGACTGGATTTTTTCTTATTTGCATTATTACCCATACTTTTTGTTAAAATTTATAAAATTCCTTCTCTCAATTTGTAAAAATTTTTAAAAATACCCCCTCTCAATTGATAAAAATACCACACTTCACATTATTGTCCTCACTATTTTTTTAATCCAAAAAGTAATCATCTCTTTTCATTCTCTACCGCTCACCACATTCATGATTCTTTCCCACACACTTTGATATTCCCACTCAATTTTTAAAAATACCTATTATATATATTATTGCGTTTAAGATTTAAAAGAAAATAAAGTAAATCAGTTTTTCTTATTTCTTCTGATCCCACATCTATGGTAATCTAGAAAGCACGGATACGATCAAAGAATCTGAATCAGACAATTCACAAATAATTAAATTCTTATATTTATTATTTTATTTTAAATAATTATCTTTAATTTTTTTTATTTTTCAACCACATTCCGATTAATGGACTTTTGTATCAGATAGGTAAAGTTTTTGGTAAAAAATAAATAAATAAATAATTAGGTGCAAAAGCAAAATGACACTGGAATTCAGAAGCTCATGCTTAAAAAACACGTCATGTGGACTTTCGGGAGAAAATTGTTCATATCAATTTGGTAGGCCCAAAACCAACTAAGGACATAATTTTCGAAAAAAACCAACGAAGGACATAATTTAGTTCCATAAAATGAAGTTCAAAATTTAGATTTCAATATATATATTTTTTAATGGTCCATGCTAGGCTAAGTCCAAATAAATTATAGAAACAAATCAAAGAAAATAACTCCATGTAGTAAAACATACAAAAATAAAGAATGTTATAAATTGTACGTTTTCATTTAGCCTTTTTTTTTAGGAGAGGTGGCCATTTTATATATTTTGATCAACAATTGAAAAGAAATTATTAAAAGTGTCATTGAGCACACAAATTCAAATTCAGGAGAAGTCAAAATAATTAAATTTGAATGGTCTATTTGTGTCTATTCTTATTTTCGTGTCGTCTAATGCGGTGCCAACAATAAATTATGATATTGATCAAAGAAGTAAACAATCTAAAAATTGAAACCCGCTTTAATTGAAGTCTTTGCCCCCAAAAATAATTATCCTTGAATAATAAATATTATGATAAGTCTTAATCATAAAGAATGCCAGTGACTAAATTATCAATACATTTAATTGCATAAAATTAATAAAGCCACTAATCACTTTTTGGAGCTCGTTTGCCAGACTAGTTTTGTCATTGCCCTGTAAAAGGCGTCAACAATTTAGTGAAATATATGGAATGAACACATTATTATTATTATTATTATTATTATTATTATTATTATTTTTTTGGCTAGTCACATTAAAATTGAAATGGATGAAAATTCACATTACGAATTCATTCACCAATTGAAACAAAAAAATTATATTTTTAATTAATTTATCTCAACTGTTTTCATAAGTAGGGACATAGAAGACCATAAGTAGGGACATTGAGGATTGTATCCTTTTATTGGTTATTAATATACTGAAACATTTGACCGCATGTTCGTCTTAGATTTTTACGCACAAATTTTTGGCACGTCTAATGGGACCGACTCTCATCTCTTTCTCCTCTATTATATCTTAAAAACTTCATCTTTTGGGCATCAATGGTTACTCAAAATGCTCGAGCTGTCCGGACAAGCAAAATTACAATCAAGAAAGTTGCGGTCGCAACAACCAATATTGTTGTCACAGAGACTATGTAGATGCAATTAAAAGATTCAATTTGTACATAAAAACGATTCTTAAGCACATTTTTTCTATTTTCACTTTGCCATACCACACTTTTGAACGTTACCTGCTTTGATTTTTAAAGCACGGTTCTTTCCTGCTGGAATATGTATAGTAAAATCCAAATACTCCTCAACTAGTACAATGTGGAACTAGAAATGCAAATTGCTGACCTAATTGGGTAGCTTTAGCTGGAAAGTTGCAACTTACAGGTGATAAAATCGATTCCTTTTAGGATCAAGTCAATTGAAGAATAACTCAGTTGAAGCGTAATGATAAGATAATATGTGTAATGCATTAAGTATCGTAGAATAAGACCCACAAGTACGAGTATTTATAGTTATTACCTTGATGCTAAAGAAGAGTTCGACCAAATGCTATCTTGGTCCCCCACCACTCTCATATCCACTGATTTATTAAATAATTATTAGGAATGAAATAATTATTTATTAGGTAAAGTGCAAAAAATAACTTTTGTTATATATATAAAAATAAATAAATTGTAAAAAAAAAATACCCCCTTATGTTCAAAAACTCCCTAGGAAAAAAACATTTCAAAAACTCTCTTCAATTTTCAAATTGTGCAGATAAGGACATTTTGTCTATTTGAATACTGAAATACATAAAATGCTCTTAAGACCCAAAAAAATAAAAAAAAAATAAAAACTAATTTTAGTTTTAAAGTGTATTTTAAAGATATTATTAAAAAAAAAAAAAACAAAAAAAAAAAAAAAAAAAAAAATTGACAATCAATAGATAGTAAGGGACAATTTGTACGTATTTTCAAATGTCATGGATTCACATATTAAGTAGTAAGGATGTTTTTTTATATATATAGTAAGGTTTTCTTTTGACACTTTACCCTGATTTATTTTATGAAAAATGATTCTTGCACCTTTTATGTCTTTAACAAGATCAATCTTATTGTAAGGATAAATTAGATCGTCCAAGATGAATATAAGTCATCATTTTGCATACTACTTTAAAGAATAGGTGACAATATGGTCCATGGTTCTACTGGTCCTCATGATTGGCATAGGCATACAAATTCAGTACGTAGGCAGCTATTTGAGTGGCTAACCCCTCCTGTTATTACGAAATCGAATAAGACGTCAAACATTCTCTATTTAATTAATGATTAGAGTGGTGGGGAGACACTCGCCATCCAATTGATGATCGATCGGAACCAATTGAAGACAGTTCGATCTCTTATTTGGTGATTTTTTTTCCCTAGTGTATTATAGAGAAGTAAATTTAAGATTGAATACAAACTTCACATTTGATATGAAAAGCATACATAATATAAGATTTCATGATGTGCACAGTAAAGTTTAATATGACATGGTAGAAGACAAAGTACATGCAGAGATTCACAGTGCATAGTGATTGAGAGCAAGCATCGTCCAATGGCTATGTATGCGAAGTTGAAGGGACCATTTACGGTAAGTATTTTGAAAGCGAAAAGATGAACAATTTCCCAAAGCGAAAAACAATGGGCTGCTGCTTCAGCACTCACTACAAACAGTTTGGGGAC